CCAGAATATTCTAGATTCGAATTTAAATACTTTATTTAAACAAGACTGAATTCCATTGAAAAATATTCAAGCGATTTTCACGCGTACGAAGAAAACTCTNTCGAAGGCACAGTTAGTATTAAAACTATTATAATTATATCTGATGAGCAATAATAATAAGTAGTTAAGTATGGCAGCTTAGACTATCTTATGAAACGCCAAAATGAACCAAAACCTAGTATAACATTTTTCAATTCATGAAGTTACACGTGCCTCTATCCTCCCCTCTATACCAATATTATAACTGCTTAAAGTTGAATAGATAATAAAATAGATAACAAACAAACTGAAAAAACCCTTGAAAACTTCCACAATTTCATTGCTGGAACGAATATTTTCACGCATTTAGTAGCTCCGTCAAACTACCTGAAAATTCGTTCGCCACGAGTAATCTATTCGTTTCAGACTCAAAACGTTGAAATGGTATAACGTGTAAATATGTAAGCTACCTTGTGAAAAACATATTTGAGGGTCCGTCCGTTTCTACCAAATGATGTCCACTGCTGGACAAAGGCCTCCCCCAAGAGTATCTCAGCAAAATATGTCCACTTATTAACATAGCGTAGTATCCTGTAAACAATAACACCATTCCTGCCTGATCCTTCAAAATTTTCGCTCTTCCCGGGTATTTTCCTTTAAAATCCGTTTCCCAACCTTTACACCTCGTCATTGGCAAATGCACAAGCCGTGCGTGCCACATATAAAAAAAAAAAAACATAGCGTAGCCCCTTGTTCGCACTGCGAACACATTGAGCTAACTCAAAATGGCGTCACGGGGCGCGCTAAGATTTTTAAAACTTCGAACTGAGTTGGCGCAATTGCGCCAGTGTTCCCCATATCCTCGTGATATTTTTATTCTGTGGCAGTACGTCTAATTTTCCACGTAAGCACAAGTCATTGACCCGTGAAAGCCTCTGAGTTCACGAGTTCAAACTTTTTTAGCGAAAATGTACTTTTCTTTTTCCAAATTAAATGCTGCATCGCTACTTTAATGTTTTTGCGTAAAATTATTTCAGTTGGTATAATTTTGATATTACTTTTTAAGTTATCAAAACTTTAAACATTGCAATATTTCATTAGAAAATGAAAATTTAATGATGAAAAGTGTTTTCCGTTAAGGTTGATATAAAGATACTGCGTTTTTCGATAGGTGGTGTGGTGAGAGACAAATGACTTAATGTGGTTTTGCCCCCGGCGGGATTCAACCCACCAATATTAGCTATCATTATACATACACAAACCAGGACAGGCACCTTTCTAATTTTACACTATGTGTTTTCAACTCAATTCAGGTTATATACGACGTCTAGACGATAGTTAATGTCTATATTAGTTAGGTTGGAAGATAAAACGGACGGGAGAGTTCCATGTCCTTATAAATTACAGAATGTCTGGATTTAGTAGATATTTCATGCAAATCCACGTTTCACTCTAAGATTTAGCAGAAATTTGAGTTATTGGATCCCTTTAGAGTTTTGAGAGTCACAGTAAAATATGAATATTTTGAACTGGCTGCTTGCATTTTGCGTTAGATAATTAAAACTAATTAAGTTTTTAAGACAATGCCTCTGATTTAGTAGTATGAGAGTGAGATTTGCTCGTGGAGGCACGTTCGTTCGTTCGTTCGTTCGAACGCAATAAAATACGAGGGTTTTGAAGTGGCTGCTTGCATTTTGCGTTTGATAATTAAAACTAATTAAGTTTTTAAGACAATGCCTCTTTGTTTTAGTAGTATGAGAGTGAGATTTGCTCGCGGAGGCACAGTCAGCGTCAAATAGTTCGTGACACCGAAAGTAGCCAAAGAGTTCGCAACACGTCTTTGTCTTTGACATAAGGTTCTTCTGTCAACTTTTTGACCACTTGAGGCAGGCCCGGCCGACTTTGTAGGCAGCGCCGTGGACTTTATTAGGTGGGCTGCTAAGATTTTCGTGTTAATCTTTATAGCCTGACCAGGAACATAAAAACCCTGGCATAGAGGCGCTTCAATTGCTATTGATAGTGCAACACTGAGTACAGTCGTACCTGTGTTAAATTAATAGGCTAACTTTATGTATCAGGATTCAGGATTACGGGCTAATTTGATATTTTCATAAATTAACGAAAAAATATTATTATAGGTAACCTGATTTAAATAAATTAAATGAAACCATCAATCGAGCTAGTAGATTTATTTTATTATTCATCAATAATCAAATTCAGAACTTGAATATTCAACTGCAATGTCTGCTCATGAACGCTTCAAACTCGGTACTTCTTTCCCAATCCCGTAAAATTCAACACTTAGAAAGTGACAAAATTTTTAAAATAGGTAGTTGAAACAAACCACAGCTAATTTTCATAGTGGACTGTACTATACGATAAACATGTCAGTCAATTTGACAACCTTTGTCGGAAACATTATTCAATGAAAATATTGTCCGAACCCTTAGTATTTCTCTTCGACCATTGTGAACCACTTTTCTTTCACGACTATAAAAATATTTTAGCAATTTAATTCATAAAACCAATTGCGCACATTTAAAATAAAGTTTGTTTACACTTTGACAGCAATAGACTGACATGCAAGGTGACATGTCAATGAAGTTTTCAGTTACTGTTGCCATTAAAAGAAATTAGTACCATTAGTTTTCCGCAACATGGCGAGGGTTTTTATGTTCCTGGTCAGGCTATATTATGTCATTGATTTTATGTCATGATAATAAGTTAGTACCAAAGTCACTCACTAGATGGCGTTAAGAAAAGTCCAGTTTTTTTTTAGGGAGTCGCCGTTCTTCTCGTCAGAGTAAATATATTCTTTGACTTGAGGTGTCACGAACTATTTGACGGTACATGATAGGTACAGTCCCTACTGGGTTCGAGTACAGATTTGATACGTATAAGTTTATAAAGTCAAGCTATTCTCGTAATAATTAATCTGATTTTTTTAAATGAAAGTTCCGTGCTTCAAGGGACACTTCAATCTACCAGTCCGAATTGATCCATGTCTGACGTCTATGACGGTAAATTACCTGTCTGACACCAGTGTCATGACTTTATTATTACTCAATCGATAGAAGGTAACAAGCTTTTCAAATTCCGTAAAACGAAGAAAGTTTTCGCTACTTTTATGTCGCAATGTGGCTCCCCGCCGCCACTGTGTTTCTAATTTTACCTCTGGCTCTATATTTTACTTCTAAGTCTGAAAGGGAAATTAAACAACAAGCAGCAAACACAGCGTCGGTAAGTTGTAATTAAAAAACTTAATAACTTATCTCACTAAGTAGCTCAAAGCTGCAACTCTCCCTGGACAACCGTAACTTTGCAATAAAAGAGCAAAATTGCAAACAGTTAGTTGTGCTTAAAGAATAGTAGGTAGGTAATTATCTTGGTAAATGAACGGCTCGCATTTTGGTGCTTAATGTTTAGTTATACTAGATTAAGATTATCATGTTACTAACACATATGGATGTAATGTCTGAAATAAACGTTTTATTATTATTATTATTATACCTTTTACACACGAAACAAAAAACAAAGAACTTTTTACTCATAGTCCATTTTGAAAGTCCCTATTACTTTTCTTCTTCGTACCACTTGTCATGTTTAGATTTAGGGTTGGTTTTGATTTCGTTAATGGATGTCGACATTTAAAAGATTTGTCTGTTAGATATTTTGTAACTTCGTGTATAGGCTTATGCCTTACAAATGTAATCGACCTTGCAAAGCCATTAAAAGGATCCTCGCCCTAAATGTTTGATATTTTCTGTCTACGTTGGTAATAAACTTATCCTTATTATTTATTTTCTTACCCACAATATATCTTTCGACCATCTAGCAACCTTTTAGTACCTCGAGGGAAAACTTATACCCCATTAACTACTTCGAAGCCAAACCCAACAAATAAACCACAAACGAGAAGCCACAAAGCTCTAACAATTCTTTCGCCACTAGTCTTTAGAACAATTCACCTTTAACCATTCGATTTAGTTTAAACCGTCATTCACGTGGAAATTCAATTTGGCGCGGTTTCATGATTTCCGGGGATTCACCGCGACCGCAAATAAACAAACGATTTGCTTTAATTGCGAAGTAACTGCGGAACACGGGATAATCGCGGGTAGGACGAGGAGAATCTGAATGAATTAGAGCAGTGATTTTAGTGTTTAGTTTTTGTAATATCAGCGTTAATTCTTATTTATGGAAATGCAATCAAGTTGTTTTTGGAAGGAAGTTACGTTCAGATTAACTTATGGCAGCCTTTTAGCAGATGTCCTGCATTTCTATTCCCTGGAAAATTCTATAGATGGGAAAGGCTTCTATCTTACTAAAACTTGTGTGTTTGTTGCATTTAGCTAACGTATGAATATTTCATTTAATACACCCTAATTGTCATTTCTGATTACGTGTCTTATACATTTCAGCTCCCCAAATCAAGTAAATAATTTCAGTAAACAACAATGATGTCAATTAAAGATCAACAAACCCAATGAAACACAAACTTTTAGCTTACCAAATTGCTGTCCTATTTTCAAACGCATCTAACAGTACCCTTTTCTTTTCCAGATGACCAAAAATGTGGGATACTAGTGTCAGTGCGAGTGCCAAAGTGTAGTGCCAATGTGAATCATGGGGTGTACGCCAAGCATGCTCTTGGACCACAAGAGCCGTCGCCGGGACAGCACCGGTTCTCAGGAGGCTGCCTTGGCCAAGGTAGCCCCGACACCGGTGTGCAACAAGGCTGTGCAAGCAGCCAGGGCTCCTAGGGCGTCCCTGGAGTCTGATGGCTTCAGCGTCCAGCTGTCCAACAAGAAGGATAGCTATGTGTCGCAAATGGGCAACAATTTTGCGACGCAGCTGCACATTAAGAGGATATCGGGTAAGATTTTTTCATCTTTCTATAATGCACTAGTTGTCACATTTAGGTGTTTATAGGATTATTCTAATAGGGTGACGAAAATGAAACGAGTTTTTCGTGACACGTGCTACTTACTGCCTGAATAAAATAATTTAGGGTTTAAAAATGTTTTACTAGTTAGGTATACTATGTATACGTTACGTTATGTATACTCACACTATAACTCAATACAATGAGCGGACATAAATGTATAGTATAGGTAAACTACATTATGTATTTGGTGAAAATAAAATAAGTACTTGTACTTTTAACGAGGAGTGTTGAACTCTTTATTTTAATCACATACGATACGTTACATTGTGTGGTACATCTTTTCGAAAATGTTAAGAATCCTTAAAAAACGTCTCTCGGGTTTTTTACTGTCTTCTTTATTATTGCCTCTATTATCCGTAAAATATTGAATGTTATTGCCCATGTTTATCATTTTAACTAAATTTAAATAATTTTCCTTTTGTTTTTGTGATTTTTTGTCTGTGTTCCGGCGGACTTTTTCTTTAGCTCGTAGCGCTGCATCGTCATTACCAGCTGCATTATCGCCTGCATTATCTGCATTATCACCTGCGTTATCGTCTGCATTATCGTCTGCATTATCGGCTGCATTATCGTCTGCATTATCGCCTGCATTATCGTCTGCATTATCATCTGCATTATCACCTGCATTATCGCCTGCATTGTCGTCTGCATTATCACCTGCATTATCGTCTGCATTATCGCCTGCAGTATCGCCTGCATTATTTCCTGCATTATCGTCTGCATTATCATCTGCATAATCAGCTGCATTATCACCTGCATTATCAGCTGTTTCATTTCCATCAACTGGAGCATCGCTCCCATCTACATTACTATTACTATTAGCAGTTTCGGTTTCGTCTGGTTTATGCATTTCCTCTTCACTGACAACCGGTGTAGCTTCTGTCTCTAATTCAGCAAATAAGAGCTTTTGTTCTTCTAATGAATCTTCATCAAAAGCGTCAGGATTATTTTGTACTACATCCTGAACAATTTTCGTAACTATCCTTTCCATAGAAGCTTTTTGACATCTATAAGGTCTTTTATAAGGACAATATTGCAATCGTTTAAATGATGCAATGTTTTCTAATATTGTTTTTAGTTTATCAAGTTCTATTTCTTGAGGCATTTTATATTGTTGCCAGTTGTTTATGAAATATGATGAAGGAACTTTCTGTCGAGGTTTGGTTGTTCGTCTTGCTGTTGTACTTATTACGAGGCACGCTGCGACACATATCTAAAAGAACATGGAAAAATGTAAGATCAAGTTATCTACGGCTATCAATCAGTTCGAAAAAATACGTTTTGCTCGTTTTACTACCACTTGAAGGGTTAAAGGGGCTAATTTTATAACCCTCTCGCTTGGAAAAGCCAACACCTGACCCAGCGATTGCCGTGTCGCGTCAGTTCGGCGCCGTTCGGTGACGTCTGGCGCCGAGCCGCCGGCCCCTGGCATCGCAACGCACCGCATGTCAGATTGTAATTATAAAAATACGAAAGTAACTTTATATGTGATATATTTTCGCGTCAATTTTGATGGAGAGATTAACCTCATCTGTGGTCTAGTGATTTGATGACATGTCTCTGACCTAGAGGTCCGGGTTCAATTTTTGGTGAGGGCCAAATTGTCACTAAGAGAACACCAATGTCAATACTTAGGGTTAAAAGCCCTAATGGGCGCACAATTGTCACCAATAGAACACCAATGTCTACTTCTGTTTTGTCCTAAATTACCATAAAACATCTTTGATGTCTTGATAAGAAGACCTCTATTAGGTATTTTGTTTGTCATATCTTATTCTTACAACTCGACGCAGCGCTACGTGTGACGCTTTCATACAATTTGGCTTCATAAGCCATGTTCCCATTTTGTTCAATGACAGGTTTTCTATTAATTATATTTGGAGAAAAGCTTAAGAAAAGAAATACAATCTCAATTAAATTCAAATAATACTCACAAATATCAGGTTTAATTTCATCTTGCTGCCTTCGTATTCCGACAGTTCTTGAAAGAGGTATGGTTAATTGAAATTTACGCGAATCGCTAACACGTTTCGTAATTAATGTCTCTTGTAATTTCAAATTACTGCTATAATTTGGATGTGAGCGTGAAATCTTTTCATATAGGTACCTACCTAACTCAGAGCATTAAACCATTTGTAAGCACTTTAACTTTTTTTTGTTTTTGAAGGATTATTAGCAAGTTGTATTGCATAAATTACTAATAGTCGCGTTAGCCCGTCGTGTTAAGCTAATTAAGCTTGTGTCACGAGTGGGCTCACTACAATAGTCGAGCGGCGGTGGGTTTCGAACCCCACATTCGAACTTTATGTGATGATTGAAAACAGTGCTGGGTCATTCCATGACAAATGTTACCGAGGGTTAAAAACTAAATATGTTCTTTTCGCATTAAATCTGATGAATTTTGAAAGTAAACATTCCAAATTAGAATGTGCAACAAAAAAAATCTGCAAGAAACAAGTAATTTTTAAGTTATTAGTCTTCAAAATCTATACTTAAGTCAACTGTCTGAATGATCATTTTCTCTCTAATTATTGGTAATACGATTAAAAAAAAACTATCAATCTGTGAAACGTTTTGCCACTATATGATTTGAGGGTATTTATCATAGTATTGGTAGATAGCGCCATAGTCCCAAAAAAATTGATAATCATAAAGTTTTAAGTGTGTTTTCTTGTCACCTCGGCGATGTAACACCCGAAACAAAAAAACAGGTATTTGTTTTATTATTGTACCTTACACATGGATTAGGAAAACAATATTTGGTAAAAGTAAGGTGATGGTAGTAATGATNTGAGCGGACATAAATGTATAGTATAGGTAAACTACATTATGTATTTGGTGAAAATAAAATAAGTACTTGTACTTTTAACGAGGAGTGTTGAACTCTTTATTTTAATCACATACGATACGTTACGTTGTGTGGTACATCTTTTCGAAAATGTTAAGAATCCTTAAAAAACGTCTCTCGGGTTTTTTACTGTCTTCGTTATTATTGCCTCTATTGTCCGTAAAATATTGAATGTTATTGCCCATGTTTATCATTTTAACTAAATTTAAATAATTTTCCTTCTGGTTTTGTGATTTTTCATCTGTGGTCCGGCGGACTTTTTCTTTAGCTCGTAGCGCTGCATCATCATTACCAGCTGCATTATCGCCTGCATTATCGTCTGCATTATCGTCGGCATTATCGGCTGCATTATCGCCTGCATTATTGTCTGCATTATCATCTGCATTATCACCTGCATTATCGCCTGCATTATCGTCTGCATTATCGCCTGCATTATCGTCTGCATTACCGCCTGAATTATCGCCTGCATTATCGCCTGCATTATCGTCTGCATTATCATCTGCATTATCAGCTGCATTATCACCTGCATTATCAGCTGTTTCATTTCCATCAACTGGAGCATCGCTCCCATCTACATTACTATTACTATTAGCAGTTTCGGTTTCGTCTGGTTTATGCATTTCCTCTTCACTAACAACCGGTGTAGCTTCTGTCTCTAATTCAGCAAATAAAAGCTTTTGATCTTCTAATGAATCTTCATCAAAAGCGCCAGGATTATTTTGTACTACATCCTGAACAATTTTTGTAACTATCCTTTCCATAGAAGCTTTTTGACATCTATAAGGTCTTTTATAAGGACAATATTGCAATCGTTTGAATGATGCAATGTTTTCTAATATTGTCTTTAGTTTATCAAGTTCTATTTCTTGAGGCATTTTGTATTTTTGCCAGTTGTTTATGAAATATGATGAAGGAACCTTCTTTCGAGATTTAGTTGTTCTTCTTGCTGTTGTACTTATTACGAGACACGTTGCGACACATGTCTAAAACAAATGTAAGATCATTAAGTTATCTATGGCTATCAGTCAGTTCGAAAAAATGCGTTAGTCTCGTTTTACTACCACTTGAAGGGTTAAAGGGGCTAATTTTATAACCCTCTCGCTTGGAAAAGCCAACACCTGACCCAGCGATTGCCGTGTCGCGTCGGTTCGGCGCCGTTCGGTGACGTCTGGCGCCGCGCCGCCGGCCCCTGGCATCGCAACGCACCGCATGTCAGATTTTAATTATAAAAATACGAAAGTAACTTTATCTGTGATATATTTTCGCGTCAATTTTGGTGGAGAGATTAACCTCATCTGTGGTCTAGTGATTTGATGACCTGTCTCTGACCTAGAGGTCCGGGTTCAATTTTTGGTGAGGGCCAAATTGTCACTAAGAGAACACTTGTTAATTCTTGGGGTTTAAGCCCTAGTGGGCGCAAAATTGTCACCAATAGAACACCAATGTCCATTTCTCTTTTGTCCTAAATTACCATAAAACATCTTTGATGTCTTGATAAGTAGATCAGGTATTAAATTTTGTTTGTCAGATCTTATTCTTACAACTCGACGCAGCGTTACGTGTGAGGCTTTCATACAATTTGGCTTCATAAGCCATGTTCATGTTTTGTTCAATGACAGGTTTTCTATTATATTTGGAGAAAAGCTTAAGAAAAGAAATACAATCTCAATTAAATTCAAATAATACTCACAAATATCAGGTTTAATTTCATCTTGCTGCCTTCGTATTCCGACAGTTCTTGAAAGAGGTATGGTTAATTGGAATTTACGCGAATCGCTAACACGTTTCGTAATTAATGTCTCTTGTAATTTAAAATTACTGCTATAATTTGGATGTAAGCGTGAAATCCTTTCATATAGGTACCTACCTACCTCAGAACATTAGACCATTTCTAAGCGCTCCGGCCATACATTTTTCTATAATTTTATGTAATGACTGAAAACAGCAATTTATCCTTGGTATTTTATTTCCAAAGTTACAGGGATTTGACTTTAAGCCGTTTTACATCTGGCCCTTAAATTCTTTGGCAAGTAAGTTTCATCAACATTATCTACTAATAGGTACAGTCTTCCAAAAAGCTCTCTTATTTAATACCTTACTTAGAATTCCACCGTCGCACGAGTCACTATTTCACCTTTAAAGACAAGTGCGAATTTAAGTGAGTTGCTCTGCAGACTCGCTAAGCGCTTAGAAGCTTCTCCAGCAATTAATGAACACGCCTTGATTGCCCTATCTAGTTCGCTTCTAGTCCCAGTAGGATTAACACCTTGGGAGTTTGTGTAGTTTAAAATTAAAAAATGTGGTCGACAGTATTGAAAAAATAGGCTGACAATGGTGACTGAGTTTCTTCCGCTGCTTCTTCTCAGCATTAGCCCATTTATTGTTTATTACTTTTTTCAAACCGCTATGTAAGCACCATATTTTATTTATTTGTCTATCAAAACAATAACAAATCATTCATCAAACTTTCGCGTTGCGTAATTTAATTAATTTACACATTTACAGGTAATATTTCAATATTGTCTATCCGCGTATTGCGTTAAAACCTGTATAAGTTAATTAAATAACAAACATGTCAACATTGCCATATATTTTTTAATAAAAAAAAATGAAACTTACTTACGTTTGGTCGTCTAAAACCGGTGTAACCTTTTAACACAGTGTTGTATAGCAATAATCTATGAGCTTCGAAATTGCCTAGACAATTACAAAAGGCGTACCTACCTACGCTTTTGACGCATCAAACAAAAGGGTGAATATACTTCGGTGGGCTGAGATTATCCCAGTTCTGGAAAATATAGGAAGGATTTTTTTATTCAAGTTATTAAGAAAGGTCTAATATTTAGAATCTGATGTACATAATCATAAGAATCATAATTTGTATCTTGCATGAATCATTTATCCTAAATCTACGCCAAAAATTGAGATTATAGCGAACTTGTGTTAATTTAGAGACTATTAAATTATTTAAAATAAAATAAGATAAATTAAGCACTTTCTAAGACACAATTTAGAAAATATTTTTTACATGAATTACACTCTGAAATCAATTTGTCACCTCTTTCGTGCGTGTAATAATTGTGTAAGGCAAAGTTGCACTACTTAACTTTAACCGTAACTATAACGATAAACGGTGCTTTTTGGTGCAGTCCTGTTGTCCCCCCTGCTTGGCCCCCCTGGGGGAGCCAACAGGATTTCGAAATCCTGTTGTCCCCCCTGGCTAGGGGAGACAACAGGACTAGATTTTTAATCAATGATTTGAGGACTGTTGTCCCCCCTGGCAAACATGATTTAAAAGCCATATATTTTTATAACATCATTTTTGAAATACTGAAGTACTTGACTGAATGCCAAATTGCCAAACTGAATACCTAACCGTTTGTTAAATAATAATTACCATTTATAAATAATAAAGTGTTGGTGCCGATACTGACACCTACAAACTTGAAATTTGGCAGGTAGGTTCCTTATAGAGTGTAGACATCTGCCAAGAACGGATTTTATTTAACTATTTATTTAATGATATGAAATAATACGAAGGATATAATAGGATTTTACGAAATTCTACACATAAGGGGGTAAAACGGACTCCACGCATACGAAGTCGCGGGCGGCCGCTAGTTGAATCACTGAGCAAGTATTGAATATTGTGATTAATTTAAAATTATGCAGTTTTAGCGTCCTACCTACTAATATTATAAATTTCAAAGTTTGTGAGTATGGATGTTTGATACTCTTTCACGTATTTAAAAACTACTAAACGGATTTTTAGTAAACTCTACAGAAGATATATAATATTTTTTATACATGAGAATAGCATACCTTTAACTTAGCTTTTGCCCACGGCTTTGTCTGCGTAAAATTTTGTCTGTCACAGAAAAAAATATAAGAGCGCCTTCCGGTTTCAAAAACTGACATAAAACTATCCCACGTCCTTTCCCGGGACTCAAAACCATCTCTACCAAATATCAAAATCGGTTCAATGGTTTAGGCGTGAATTCGTAACAGACAGACAGATAAAGTTTTTCGCATTTACTTAATATTATTTAGTAGGGATAATTCATAAAGATTTGTTAAAAGCATTAAAGCAGATTTTGGAATAGTCAGAAATAGTACCGGTACCAACAACTTATATTTTTTTCGTTAACAAAATGTTCATTATTATTTGACATACGTTTAGGTATTTAGTTTGGCAATAAGTATGGCATTCAGTCAGGTACTCCATTTTCAGTTCATCTTAAAAGTTATAAAAATATATGGCTTCTAAATACTCAATGTTTGCCAGGGGGGACAACAGTCCTCAAATCATTGATTGAAAATCCAGTCCTGTTGTCTCCCCTAGCCAGGGGGGACAACAGGATTTCGAAATCCTGTTGGCTCCCCCAGGGGGGCCAAGCAGGGGGGACAACAGGACTGCACCTGCTTTTTGTATGTAGTTTGACAGACTTTTGACGTTTGTTAAAGTTAAAGTAAAATGGTGAAATCCAGCCTAAATGTAACAAATGTGTATTTTGTTACAAATTCACGCAACGTATAAACTTTTGCAAGCGTAGCAATTAATTTAGACTCCCCCGTAACAAAGCCATGGGATTACCTTGCCAATCACCTGTATGGGGTAACCGCCCCATGTTTTATTTATATCACGTGACGCCTGGAGTCATGATATAGCGTTCTTGTGTGGGGTGTCAGAAGGGTGCGTTGCATCCTAGGCAATAAAGCAGGCGACAAATTTTTGAATGAAGTATTGGCACATTGTCAATAATAATAATCATAGGCTGGAACTTTAGTAAGTAGGTACATTCTTCCTTACCTAGGTATACAGGGTGGAATTTTGTAATGCCACCTGGGGGAAAGTACTCTTAATATTGTAGATAGAAAATTTTTCTCAAAGAAAACATTCCTTTATTTTTGAAAAGAAATAGAACTGCATTCAAAGATTTCCGAAATTTTTTCGAAAATTTACCACCATACTACCTATACAATTTTCGGTAAATAATTAATTACAATTATTTAAGATTTCATGGTTTTCCTTTCATTTGATTTATCAAGTTTCTTAGAGAGATTTTATACTTATACTTAACCCTAACGATTGATGCAATAAAATACAGGGTGTAATTTTTAACAGATTTGAGTTGGTTCGATTCTCGGGTCTGGCAAGCAAATTTTTGGAAATCTTTGAATACAGTTCTGTTTCTTTTCAAAAATAAAGGAATGTTTTCTTTGAGTAAAATGTTCTATCTACCGTATTAAGAGTACCTTCCTTCCAGGTGGCATTACAAAATTCCACCCTGTATACTGCTTACCTGGGAATAGGTGTCAGACATTTTGAGACATCATAGACAATAATAGACATGGCTTGTAGGTTTTGCTTCGCACTTAACAGACAATCGAAGTACTTTCAAATCTGTATTTTTCTGGGTATAAAAAGTGATTTCTTATCACTTTGTGTCCTATCTAAGAAACTCGAACTCCGACTTCCATTAGGTCCACATTAGTGCTGCTAGCGTAGTAAAAACGCTTTTAAAAGCCTACTTGCAAAAATAAATGACTAAATATAAGTTTTTATGAGGGACTCGATATAATTTTATCGTTTCACTATAGCGATCTTAAATCGATATAA